CCCCAAAACCCCAAAACCCCAAAACCCCAAAACCCCAAAACCCCTAAAGTTGGCATAAATTTGAATTTATTTATCACATTAAGTAAAAATAATAAATAACCAAGTAAATAGTCTTTAGACCAGAAATCTAAGATTGAAGAAGATTCTAAGCAACCATTAGTAGGAAAACTATATTAGTAAGTTTCTGTTATTTGGTTGAGTCTTAGAATCAACTCTTGGTAATTAAACATGAAGATATTATGCTTAGAATTTGTGATAATGTCTACATTGTACCCTTCTTCAAGAAGCTCTTCAGAAACCTTCGTTTCTGAGAAATCAGTGTCAAGCCAGTCATCATCACCATATGTAAAATGCACATCAATGCCATTTCTTTTAAATATCTTCATGTCATCAATTATTGGCTTGTAAGGAATGATATGATACTCCATAAAATAAGTAATTGCGTTTTCAGATGACTCTCCACTATTTGCTCTTTGATAAATGTATTCTCTCATTTCTTCAAACTCCTCTTTACTCATCGGTCCAAACATTTTCTTGAGACTACACTTGAAAAGAGTTCTTGTTGTCCAACCTCCTAAGCATCTAAAGATGTTATTATGATTTCAGTGAGCCCTGACATATGCCTCATACAGCTTTACAATAGGATAACTAAATCACCAGGTGAGGGGCTTTCAGCACCAACTTTTCCCAAAAATGTTAAATTTACGCATGTGATAAGCAGTTATACTATCAGGCCTTCGTTGCACTCCTAGTGGAGACCATAGTACTAACTTTTTAATATGTTGGGTATGCTTCAAAGCATATTTGGCTGAAATATAACCTCCCATAGAATGACCTATGAGTGTAAAATTAGTGAGATCTAGCTTCTCTCTCCAAGACTCAATTGACTGTACAAAGAAGGATTCTGCCTCATCTCAATTTTTAGCCAAGAAAACCGGCCTAGAAGATAAACCATTACCTAAGAGATCAATAGCATAGACATGGTAGTCAGGCTCTAAGAGTTGAAATATTCGAAACATGTTTAATGCACTGGCCATATAGCCATGAATTAGGACAATTGTTTCTTTGCTTCGATCTCCAAACTCATATGTCATTATAAATTCATCAGTAATTCTAGTAACTGTTGTCTTGCATCAACAAATTCTTCAATCGAAGAAGCATCATTTACAAGGACGAGTTCCTGTAGCCTCCCTTAATTCTTCCCTCAATTTTTCACTATCAAATTGTTGGTTGGGATCTATATTATCAGAAGTAATTTATACCTCTGTCATGACTTTCAGACTCTTCTTCATCAAACCCAATGTGATACTTGCTCTGGCTGCTTCTTAAAGAATCATAATCTTGATTAAACACAATAGGAACTCGGTATCTGTCAAGAAAACCGCTTTGAGGAACTATAAATTATACTTATTCTCTTCTTCTTCAAACTCATTAACAAGAGTAGGACCGATTCCAGTTCTGTGATTTATTTCAGTGAGTTGTAAGCCAGTAAGAGCAGCCATCCTTTCTTCAGAATCAAGCATTTTATCGTATGATGTTCATTTCCAACACCTACTACCTTCAAGTGTACCTTCCATTTTAAATATAATATAATATTTTGTACTCTATCTTAAAGTAAAATTTTGGGGTTTTGGGGTTTTGGGGTTTTGGGGTTTTGGGG